TACAGCAATACATGCTTTATAGATTCATCATGTTGAAGTCCAGAAAGAATCATTAGATGGTCTATGCAGACCTCTGTGCTTCGCCAGCCACTATTACACTGCAGAAATGAGCACTGGAGGTGGCAGCTCCTGCTTGGATTTCACGTACCTTCCAGAAAGGGCATCCAGGGATAGCGAGTAGTGGACAATCTGCCCCGTCCCTTAAGATGTTCTAAATTGGGATCACTTCCCTGCCCTATCCCCATGTTAAAATCCGTGCTGGCAGCCTTTTGTTTGTATTTATGGAGCTGGTGCCCACAGCTCAGCAGGGCTGGATGGGGACAGGAATTCTCCGTCCCCGTCTCCCCTGTGCAGAAGAGCGGAGGCAGCTGAATTAGAAGCTTCTGCATTGTCCATCCATGTTCCCTCTTCAGACACACAACCAACCTGCCAAAAGCTGCCAGCAGCTAAGAACATTAACAGAAATCCTTTGAATAATAATTTCAAATAATGGATTAATTAGAGGAAATTGTGATCTGCTTGCAAATGCCCTGCAGGCAGTAAAATGGAGCTAAGCCTTCCAGCTACACAATTCATTGCAAGCCACTGGCTTTGCTTGGCTCAGAGACCAGTCCCAGTTAGATTTAATCCAGCAAAACCTGTTTCTTTCCAAAAAGCATCTGAATGCAAAATTTTGTTAGTAGCTTGTGATCAGAGAAAGACCACTAGAAGACTACTCTGACCTCCTACACATTGTGGGTGATACCATTTCCATGCATACACTTCCATTCCCATACACGGAGAGACCCAGGACTTCAGTTAAACTGAAAGTCTTCAGCCCTCAGTAGGGAGAGCATGACACTAAATACCTCTGTGGGTCTCTGCCCTCACAAAAGGACTCTTTGGGGGAGACATTACACAATGCCTCACTCCTCAATGGAGGAAAAAGAAAGCAAAAGTCCCAGAAATTACAAAGCAGCCTGATCAAGTAATCAGGGACAACCCCAACCCACTGTACGTGATCCTGATTGCATGGGCATTAGTGCAAAATAAGGAGTCAAGCCACTGTGTCACAGTCACTGAGTAACTCTCAGAGTAACACAGTCTCTGGTCAGACTTGCACCAGCATTTTGGGGGCAGAAGAACTGTAATTTGGCCACTATACACAATGCCCAAGGGAGACTAAGGTCTTCTGGGAGCTTCACCCCTTTCACTGTTTGTCCTGTGTTGCTGTTCCTGAGACCTAAGCAGCAGCCTGCACATCAGAGGAATTTTTTGATGGTTGAAGAATTAAAAGATAATGCTTCTGCTTTCACATCTGAGGCACCACGTGATTATCCTGGCACCCACAGCAGACAGGGGAAAGCTGGGGAAGAAAGATCTACACTGCCCTGGGAGATCTCTAGTGTCTGAGGTGACCCTAGACTGAAGAACCTACTCTGAGTGTAGCCCCCAGCAGGGAAATCAGAGCCTGGATGGATTTGTGGGAATAAAACAGCCACTCACAATCACATGGGGAGCAGTGGTCCTGCAGGCGTAAAGGGAAGGGGAGTAAGAGGAGGAAGAAGGAGTGTGGGGCACGGTCTTACTGGGAACAGGAGTAAAAGCTGACATTAATCCCTAGTTTTGGATGGGCATAACAGTTTAGAGATCAGAAAAAAATCAATAGTCTTTCTGCTAGTGAAATATTTCATACCCAGCAGTTTCAGGGAGAGTTTGAGGGGGATTATATATTTATGGTTTCCCATTTGAAAGACTTTTAGCAGGTTTACCCTGAACATATGGATCCTATTTTGGTTCTTTTGTTTTAGCACTTAATGCTTATGAAATTGCCAGTTAATGACATCCATGCCTAAACTGTGTTGCTTTTAAAAGTAAAATGTCCACCAAAGGTCCGTGTTCATACTTACCACTTCTCAAGTACAGCAATGAAAGTTTTAAGAGGCTTGTTACCTACTGTGTCTGGGGGAGGGAACCGATCAAATAATGAAATTACAAACACGGTGTTAGATTAAAGCCTTGCTGGCCCTGTCTGCCATGGCTCCCAAGGGAAACCAACCCCACCAGCACCAATGGGGCACCCCAGGGCTGAGTGTGGGGCACCCTAGGGATGGGTGCAGCAAGGCTGGGCTGGAGGGGAGGCAGGCTGGGAGCACGAGGAGCCTGGGGCAGGATGAGGGGTACCGGGGTCAGGTGCAGGGGGATGAGGCTGGGTGCGGGACTACCCCAGGGGGGGACCCCAGGTGGATGATCAGCCAGGGAACGTGTCCCCTCCATCCTCAGCCCGGGCTCTGACCTGGGCTGCAGGAGATACCGGGCTCCGCTTAATCACCCCGAGCCTTTGATTGCGCTGCACGTGGGGACGAGCCTCCTCACTTCAAAAGAGCGTGGGAAATCCTGATTAAAAGGCTTTTCTCCCCCCGTTGGGATCGACACCTTCTTTGAAGCCCTTCCAAGCGACAACGCAAACGCACCCACCGCTAAAGCACCGTATCTATATTTTAAGCGACTTTAATTTCTCTTACCCACCCCCCTCCCCTTCTAGCTCTCTTCCCCCCTCCTCTCCTTTCAGTTTTGGAAACACCTGGTAAGTTGTAAAATGATTTACGAAGTGAAAGTGTTAAATGAGGCCACCAGCTGTAAGACTGACAGAGCTTTATGAGTTTTATTAGGTGCCCTATTATGGAAAATAAACTTTAATCCGTCCATAAAAACAGAATCTGAAAAACATATTTGCCCTTGTAGTCTGGAACACTGAAGGTATTCTTGTGAGACGCTGGGCTTTAAAGAGATTAATTTTATTGAGACAGACACAATACACCGGTAGGACTTTGATACAGAGTCCGTGAATAAGCTGCCTGTGCCCCGCGAAGCTGTTTTCCATGGGGCTGGGACACGTTTGGACACACACCTCTTGGGCATACAGTGCATTTCTGGCCCCATGGCGCACGGCTGCCAGCTTCATTAGCGGGTATTTCATTGGAAATGAATGTCTGACAGTTTATTTATTAATTTGTTTAATTTTTTGGGAGGGTGATCTCAGGTAGCTCTTGATTTATTATTATTATTATTATTATTATTATTATTATTATTATTATTATTATTATTATTATTATTATTATTATTATTATTGTTGTTGTTGTTGTTGTTGTTGTTGTTGTTGTTGTTGTTGTTGTTGTTGTTATTGTTGTTGTTGTTATTGTTATTATTTTCCTTCAGGATAACGGCGCGTCCTTCAGACTGATGTGTTTTAGTTATTTTAATGTGTGATAGGCAAGTCCTACTGGAAGTAACTCGGGCATGACGCCGAGTTTAGGGCGGAGGAGGCTCCGCAGCCCTGCGCGGGCGTTGCGCGGCCCTGCGCGGGCATTCACCCGCCAAGGTGCAGCCAGCGGAGGGGAAAATCGCAGAGCAACTAATGCTTTTATTGTTCTTCCATCGCCTTAAATTCTCCACAACCTGTGGCCGAAAGGAAATCGTTTACAAATCTAAATCGGAGCCTCAGACGTGATTGTTTCCGTGCAAGGGGGAGGAATCGATCAAGCCCAAACCAAGTTTAACATGATCGAGTTTGGGGTGGTGTTCTTTTTTACATATGGGATTCATCCAGATTTATGATTTACCCCGTGAACGTGTGTGATTTACGGCGCTGGGCCTGTGAACTAATAACTACCCGTATTGTCTCTGAATGTCACCT